TCAAAGGTAATGGTAATTTGTCTTTTTACATGACTATCTGGAAAATTTCATGTTTATTGGTAAATGCAGTATTTGATACTTCATAGTAATTTTTTTGCAAATCAAAAATTACATCAAATCCTTGGCACTAATTATATAGATCCATTTTATGAATCTCCTGTTTGTTGAAAATAAGATTCAACTAAAACTTAAGTGCTTTCAAAAGGGTATTTTTTGTGAGTAATGAAAAAAAATCAATGTTAAAATTTTATCAGTGATTTTTCCATTTGTTTCAGTGAATTGTGATGGGAAAAGTTTCATAGGCATACAATTATATAGTTGGCCACAGGATTCTAATATGGCACTAAAAGGTAATAAATCTGAAGAGTTGGGATAGGAAAATAATGCAATACTTTCCAATGTAATTCTAAGAAATCTGGAGGAAGTCAGACCACAGTCATTTCAAAGGCTCTTGTGCAGGGAGGTCTGGGTGCTTTCTCTATTCCAGCACCTCGTGCATGCTCTTTGATAAGTATTAAATTCCACCATTACCAACTGGAAATTATAATAAACAGAATTTGACTTTTATGGATTGAATTTAAACTTTTATTCAACTGTTAGTTTGACTGATTTTTCTCAACCTTCCAATTCTAGAAACACAAAACTTGGCTTTCTAAGTCTTTAGTTCAACACACTTGGTTTTCTGCAATGATCATGCTCTTTCACTACCCATTAAAATTTTTATAAGATGGGCTGGAGAAATAGCTCAGTGAGTAAAGTAATTTACGAAGATCTGAATTTGGTTCTCAGAAGCCAAGTGAAAACGGTGTGAAGTTGTGCATACTTGTGACCCCTGCACGGGGGAGGAGTGGATAAAAGCTCCCTGGGGCTCAGTGGTCAGTCAGCCAGCCTAGCCTAAATACAGTAAGCCCCAGGACTCAGTGAGTGACCTTACTTCAAAAATTAAGGGGGATAGGCTAGCAAGATGGCTCAATGGGTAAAGGCAGTTTCCACCATGTTTGATGACCTCAGATTGATCCTTAGGACCCACATGGAGGAAGGAGAGAACTGTCTCCGACAAGTTGTTCTCTGACCTCCCCGTGTGCACCATGGCATGCACATGACAGAGAGAGAGAGAAAGAGAGAGATCAAATGTAATTTTATAAAACTTCAGAAATAATGAATGCTCCTGAGGAATAACACCCTGAGTTTGACCTCTGACCTCCACAGGAAGGCACATACATGCACCTGGACACACAAGTACATCTATACACATACTCTCAAACACCCACCACCTATACAACACACAAAACATGTTTATAAGATATTCTTGATTATTACTGGCTACCCACTGAGAATGATGAAATACCCTATGACACTCTCTTGTTTACCTGGAAATTGAGTATTTCCTGGAGTCTTTCCTTCATCTGATGACAACGCTGACCCACTACTGAGTCAAGCAGGGATAATCTACCCAAAAGGCAGCCCAGAGTGTCTTCAATGACATCCTGATTGTCACTGTTCTCTGGGAAAGTTTGGGAAAACAAATTCTTGTTCTTATCCATTTCTTCAGACATTTCCTTTATGTCTTTGGCAAGTGCCTGGGATAGATAAAAGAAAAGTTCACTTTGATGCTTAGACCCATGAACATCAACTCTCCCCAGAAAGTCCATGCAGACTTCTGCTTAGTAATGACTACACTGATGCAACTTGAATCCTTTTCATGTATTTCTACACAGCTTCAGGAAACTGGTCTTGAAGAGATTTTATTATCATTAGATAATAAAAAGTAAATTTTAGGGGCTGAAGAGATGACTCAGTGGTTAAGAGCACTGGCTGCTCTTGCAGAGGACAGAGGATGCAGATTTAGCTCCCAGCACTCACATGATGGCTAACAACCATCAGTAACTCCATTTCCAGGGGATCTGATGTCCTCTTCTGACCTCTGTGGGCATTGCACAATACAGGTGTATTTACACACATGCAGGCAATATACTCATACATATAAAATAAAAATAATAAATGCAATTTTAAAAAGTAAATTTTATATAGTGCTATTTAGGATTTCATTTCTTTCTTTTTAAAAAATATTTTATTTATTATTTTTATTTTTT